CTTTTTCTTGTAAGCATCTTTCTGTTCCATCACTACTGTCGTCGTCTTGCACGTCCATTACCATATTGACTTTCCTAAGCGTTAACTATTTTTTAACGACTCCGTTTGAATTCTAAACGAACGGAGAAAAGGCATACTAAGTAAATGCAGACATGATAAAGCACGTGAAGTGTGAAACCTGTATTATGATCAAATTGCAGGTAAATGTATTAAAACAAATTTTCCACGTTTTCAAAACTTTTAAAATATTTTTTGACGTTCAGGAAGTTTCTTCAAGTTCCTTGTTTAAAGCATCCTTGACAATTCGCAAACACGCAAAATTCTCATATTTATACCTATTTAGTATACACACACGTTTTCACACATTGAGCCAGTGAGTGACACATTTTATATTGAAGAAGCTCAAACTGAATTTAATCCTAACGAAGGCGTACCGTGAATTCCGTTTACCACTCTTTTTACTTCCACACCGTACGACTGAATGGCGAATTTTCGCCAGAAAAACAGTAATTATCGAGCCCTGGTAACGAAAAAGTGGATAAATCGTGTGGCAAAATGTATAGAAAAGAAATCTTCTACCGCGTCGTGTAGCCAGAATCCGTTTTGAGGATTCTTGATTCCGAAAAAATATTGACGGCAAAACGTCTGTCTTCTCAAGGCTAGCGCCTAAACTATCCAGCCAATTTCCTTCAAAATTGGTCCCAATCGAGCAGAATGAACTCTAGGCTTTGGGAGTCTCAAATGAATATTTTGATTTTTGAGGGTTCTTTCTATGAAGCCCCAAAAATATTTTCAAAATTTTTTAACAATTGCCCGAAATTTTATTTATCAAACTTTGTCTTGAGATAGCGTTCAGGACGCTTAAGAGAATTGTGTAGGTCTAATGTTCGTTAAAATACCAGATTTTTTTCTTCTAAAAAAGGATCTGTAAATATGCTCTTGTTCAATTTTTCGAAAAAAATAGTAGTTTCCTTGTAATTTGACGCAAAACAGGCGATATTAAAAAAATGTTTTTTTCAACAACCGCTGCAATTTGTTTCTTATTTTTTTCCACGGATAGAAGACTTTCTTAAAAAAGTATAGCGCGGGTTCCATTTTCGTTGAACTCAATGAATTTTCGAAAATTGAATATTGAGAAATAATGCGAGAAAATACTGTTGTACAACCACTACTTTTTTTAAATTTATTTACTGTCCATTCGACTGTATAAGTATTTCAGAGGTTTTAAAAATTACGGTAATTGACATATCAGTGTTGATCACTCTGTTATCCCTAATAGAATTTTGTACAGTTTGCATTTTTATAATGTGCATTAGACCATAGAGGAGAACTTTACATCAATGTGGGTCTAATTATTGAAGTATAAACAGGTAGTAAACATTCATAATATTGAAAATTCAAAAACAAAATTTAATTTTTAAAATGTTTATAATAGTTTTATTAATAGAGTTTTTATGTGTTTCTTCCATGTCAAAGTAGTGTCAAATTCAACGCATTAATATTTTATAGTTTCGTTTTTTAATAGCTATGGAATTGGTGTATTAAATATTTTTAAAGGAGGAAGCAAAATAAGTATTACGAAGTGTAAAAATGTTGGCTTGACGTGTAATGTGCAAATGACTATTTACCAGATATCAACGTATAACCTACCCGTATGTTTAAAGGGCAGAAAAATGAAAAATATAACTAAATTTAAATAAATGTCGCTGTTATTTTCAACTTTGAGTCAATAAATAGAACAAATTATATTAAAATAGGTTTTATTCATTCACAACAAAAAATAATTTATTAACAAATAATTTACAAAATATATTACAACACCTTCAATGCAGAAAGCTCTCCCTCTAAGGATAAATTTAAAAATCGACTTTAACAATCTTCGAAGGTGTCCAAAAGTAATGTTCGAGAAGGAACAAAATGTTTGTAAGGATCCGCTTACATAAACAATTTTGTCATATGACATTTGATGTCTGGGCTCCATGACTTCCTAAGACATCAAGCTCTATAGCATGCAGCGAGAACACAGCTCGAGTATCAAGGTCGTCATCGTAATTTTCAGAGAGACAGAGATGGAGAGGCAGTTGGCTTCCTCCGGTCTCATTATGTCATAATCATCAAGGCAACGAAACAACAAAGACCAATTCTCGAGGACTTGCATGCCAAGATTTCTGTGAATCTGAGGCAATAAATATGAAGTGTTGGCAACGTTGCAATGATACAAGGCGTTAAGTGAATGAAAGTTCATTCTAGTGATGCGAGGGTGCTACTGAGATGTTAACTTCAAGCATGATACTCCTCTTTTGAGTTGTGTTGATGGGTTTACATGAACAAGTACTCTGTCCACTTACGTAGCTTAGACTGCTGTGACTACAACTCCTCTGCACGAGCGAAAAAAAAGGTTGTGGGTGCTACTCTAACTCAAAGCATGGCCGTTTCAAATCTGTGATTTTGGCTTACAAGACAAACCAGCACGAATTCCTTATAGTCATTCACGTAAACATTTGCTAACTCATAAATCCTCATAATAACTCGAGACGTAATGCCTCATATCATCCAAGAGACTGAAAGCTACAAAAATCGGATTCTCTGTATTCTAATACAATGAAATATTTATTCTGGAGAGTTCAGGAACAGTTTATAATAAACATACGTTTAATATTTTAATTTTATATTTTTTAGTTTGTAAGACATAAAATTAATTATAATTTTGACCCCTTTCAATTCTTCTCCTTTACGATTAAAGGAGATGTTCTGCAAAGCTTCGTATTACGGCATTCAATCGAAATATATCCACCGGCAATATAAAAACAGTTTGTTGCAATAAGGCTGGCACAAAATATTTTTACACGACATTGGATGGGCCCTAAAAGATCCATGAAGATGAAGGTTGAACACACATTTCCTTCAATTTATTATTTTATCAGAACTATTTCGTAAGGCGAGCTAGCATCTTGAAAGAGACCCGTAGCCATACATTTCAAAACATTTTATTGCCTTAAATATCTTCATTACAAGATTTTTTCTCTTTTTTAACCTGACAATTAGAGAAACGTGGGGTACAGGCGCTACAATCACCTGGCAACCATGTAATTGCCATGTAACCACGAAATTGCAACATTTTATTTAAAATTACAGATTATTAAACGATTCTTCATCGAGCAGGTGAGTTGATTAAAGATAATACCGAAATCGTTGTGTTAAAAGGAGCGCGTAAAGACGAAATGGCATATCAACACAATTGAGTACAATGACAGTTGTTAGTTGGCAGAAGAGCAATACATTTTCGCAGAGATTAATGAAAGGAGAGACGAATCTCTGAAAGATGTGTGGTGAATCAAGCTATGAGTCAACCTATGACACTCTTCTTTTCCACAGATTCAGCGAACATTAAAAAACAAACTGATCAAATGGCGCTACATCACGGAAATGTGAATAATTTATAAAGAGGCCATTTTGACTAACTTTACATCTTGTAAACACAGCAGTAGCAAAAAACAAACAAAAATGTTCTGATAATGCATAATTCCAATCCACATATCTATGTGCGTTCCCTTATTTTCTCTCGGACACCCTTTGTGGCCATCAAATTAAGATATCCATCGTCCACCTGTAATCGAAGAAGAGTCAACCTAAAAGAGAACAACCACCACAAATGTGATGAATTACGGTGAAACCTTACACAACGAGAATGCATGAACACACGCGAGTCTTCAGTAGCTTTAATTCTTAAAAGCCTGCATTTAACGCTCAACAGACCCAGAAAGCTCTCATTAACTCCGCAGTTCGTACAGGATTTCCAGACGAATTTTTAGGTTCGCGGCCGCGGCGTGGCTGAAGCGAAGGAAGGGCGGGCGGAAGGGTCGGAGGGTCTAGGGACGCGAAGCAGCAAAAAGAGATGGGGAGGGGGGAAGAAGGGAGGGGGAAAGGAGAAGGGCCAGTGTCCCCAAACAGCACATTTCGAGAACACGACTGCTCCGGAGAAAAAAAAAAACTTAAAAAACTTAAATACAGTTAAAGACAAATGTCAAGGCAAACTTTATCAATCGTTTTTTGTCTTATCCAGTTTTAGAAATAAGAGTAATTAAAATACCTGCATGCACATCAAAATTGAAAAATTATATATTTACGAATGGATGTTCATGCTGGGAGAATCTGCTCTCTTTACTCCGAAACCATTATCAATAATTGTCAAATATTATTTTAAAACGCATTTGGAATTCAACTCAAGGAATGTCTACGTTACAGGCTTTTCATTATAAAGAAGTCCGTTATAGAGTATACGCAAATATTATAATGTAAACAAATACCTGTACAAATTTTATTGTATAGCTGTACAAAATTAATAAAATAGCTTCCGAAACTTAGAGAAACTAAAAGCAGTTTTATTCCATCAATTTTCCATTAAAAACAGATTTTTTCATATGATCGTAAACATCATAAGCAAGGAAAAGAAAAAAATAAACGAAGGCACAAAAAAAGAAAAGGAATAAATAAGAAAAAATAAAAGAAATGAAAACACAAGGAAAACGAAAAGATACAAAAAGAGAAAAAGAAAGAAAAGGATTAAATAAGAAAAAAAAAAAAAATAACGATAAGAAACAAGAAGAAAATATCGAAGAAAAAGTAAGAAATTTAAAAAATATATATATTCGTGCATTACAATCTGAGTACAATCCTGGGCTTCACGAGCACACACGCTAGCAATAGCAGTCTGTCACCGGCGGCAGGGTCGTTCAGCTGCCACGCGCGGGCGTGGGCCGCCCCTCCGACCCTCTGACCCTGGCCCTCTTCCGGCGCTCGGAGGGGCGGAGGGGAGGGGTTGGGAGGAGAAGGGCTGCGAGAGGCGGAGCAGGGCGAGGCGAGGCGGCGTGGAGAGTGTGAGTGAGACCGAGTCCCGCGTCGCGATCGATGCCTTGCCCCGCCTCGCACGCCAACTCTGCCCCCGGGGCGCAACGCGGGCACTTCGCCCAGCCTGAGCGCGGGAGGCTGCACGTACTCACGTCTGCACGAGCGCGAAGGTGTTCGGCGCATCGCCTCAGCATGTCTGCCCCGGGCGGACGATCAACCCTCGCGGCGCGCGGTTCCACACTCGCCGCCCGCCGGCCGGCTCGAACGCGAACGCAAACACGCACACACGCCTCCTCCCGACGCACATGCCAGCGACCGGGCGATTGTCGTTGGGGACGCGCGCGACCCTCCCGCGGCCCAACGGCTTCCCAGCGCCCCCGCCAGGCGCGCTGCCGGCCACCCGCACGCGCGCCATCTGCCGCGAACCGCGCCGAGCGCGGGGTGGTCCCGGGCGCTACGAATTGGGTAGAAACAGCGCCCTTGGACTTCCCACGACCGCGATTCGGTTTAACACGTGGCCTATAAAATCCTATTTCAGAACTATGATTTTTTTCTTTTATTTGCCTGCCCACTCGGTGTTGTGAGTGTCGCGGGTTCCATCCATGCGGAGGTCAATGGATTTTCACAAAGATGAAGTTTTCCGACTTCCGTACATAAAATAAGAGAACTGAAAAATCCAATAGTATATTTTTGTAAACCACGAAAACTGGAGATCTCCGAGCAAATAATCTTATACCACTTCATATTTAATTTGAGTTACAAGGCAAAATGTATCTCTATCAAAACTATAAGAATCTTTAAAAACTTTACTCTGTTATTCCGTTGTTTAATTATATATCCCAATTATTTATTTTTGTGCATTATTCTCTCATTTGCTGACAAAATTTCACAGATACTAAATGCAGACACAAAAAAGAATGCTGAAAACAGGATACCTGGCAATATCGAAATGTTTACTTTTAAAAACGTAACCTTCAAATAGTTTCCAGTTTATCGAAAGAGTAAATAAATCGCAGAATAATTTTGTTAGAACTTCTTACATAGCGACCAACTTCAATAATCTTTATAGGCGAAGGAAAATAAATGGAAAGAAAAGAGAAACAAGAAACAGAATAAAAAAGTAGTAATTATCTTACATTTAAACAAACAATAAGAGAGCATGTACTTTAAAAACTGGTATTTGACATTGTAATGAAGTGTTTTGAAACAACCGACACATAAAAGGTTACCCACTAGTCCAATATCAACCTTCGCATACTCCCGTACTTGATTCACACTGAAATCCCGAGATCACCTCAAAAATGAATGAATTGAATAAACTAAGACTGAAAATAAGAAATATTACTGTCTAACCGGAAAACACTCTCCTCTTTCTCTCACTCGAACCATTCCTATCGTTATTCCTCTCTCTCTCTCTCTCTCTCATCCTTGTGTGTGTGTGTGTGTGTGTGTGTGTGTGTGTGTGTGTGTGCGTGCGTGCGTGTGTGTGTAACAGTAGACCTATCTTCAAGTACAAAAGCGCCGGCAATGATGTACTAAACACAAACTTGAAAATTCTAACCTCGGCAGATGACACGAGTACTTTATTGAGACTCATCAAAACAATCTCACAAATAAATACTTGGACCTTCTTCGAGACAACAGTTCAAATTCAAGAAGATTGACACGATTAAAGCCTCTAGTTTTAGAAAATTAGTAATTTTAGTTAATATTTAGTAAATTATTAAGTTGAGTTCATAATCAATTGTTCGGTTTTTATACATGTAAATGCTTTTAACTTCTCAAGGATTATCATTTTGTAATTTTTCCACCCATGCCCTTTCAAATTTGTGGAATAATTTACCAACTGTTCTGCAAATTAAATTCAGTGTATTTTTGCTATTTATTGATAAATTGCAAATACTCACTGTAGCAAAGTTTGTCATGAATTAAAAATATCTTTACTTAAAGAATTGAGCTAGAGTCCGAGATACCACTGATATGGTAGACAAGGCTGATATCACCTCGTCGTAACTGGGGTCTTTTCCTGAAAGTCGGAAATTATGCGACTTTCAAGATTAGATAAGACGGAGACGGCATAGAGCGTTACTATTTGATCAGTGCCCTTATCTTTCGAAGTTATGTAGCTTAGAAAATGGTGATGTACAACTGTTAAAATATGAAAGAAATACGTACGTATCAAAATGTTTCTATAATCACAGCAGAAAATCTACGATACGTTTCACACCGATTCAAAAGCAATGCTCAAGATGCTTTCGTTTTATTTAGCCATTCATTTATCCAATCCTTCTTTCCTTACTTAGTCGAAAAGAAGAGTTGTGAGAGATCCGCTGCACAGAAAGGATCACACAGAAACAAATACCTGTCACGCAGGGGCGGATCCAGAAGCGAATTTTGGGATGGGATATTCCAAATTTTTTCGTCGAACCTGTCATATTTCAGATTTTGTAGAATGCCGCAGCGTGCATTAAATGTCATATTAGATTTTGCAGAATGTCGCGTACACTCACCTCGTGCTGCAATACGAATTTATTCGTTTTACGACACTCCACACATGAGACATTCTGCGAATACCGAGCAACCGCTCCCCGAATCCCAAGTAGTGTGGTCGGGTTGCTCGCTATTCGCCGAGCGCCGAAGATTCGGTATTCCGTCTACTCCCGCGTGTCGGTCTTTAGGACACATCAAAGGGCGCGAACATTCGCCGAACACATCAGCTGTTCGGGATTGGGCAAGCAGTAGCTCGCTGCTCGGCGAATGTCGAATGTGTGGAGCCGCCTTTAAACATAATTTGAAAATATGTTTGCTTGAATGCTTCGTGACAAGTTATAATTAATGGTAACTGAAAAAAATTAGGGGGGAAATAAATTTCCCTCATTTCCCTCCCCGTGGATCCGCGCCTTCCCTCTTTCAAGTCCGCACAACATTTAGCGAGCTGAGATTGCATCTTTCAATATAGGCACGAAGCAAAGAAACAAGCATACAGACAAAAGACGGCGTTTCGTGCTGCTTCTCCTGATAGTGGCGCCATCACACTCGGGTAAATTCGGTACCCGCCGACGGTGCTCGGTCGGACAGACGAACGTCTCGTGGAATGAACCGCGCGTGTCGCGAAGACGCGCGCCAACTTCCTGACGCAGTGGACGTGTGGCTCGTCCGCATTGAGGAACGAGGAGCCGAGAGAATCGATTCGGGAGCCGCTCCGCCGCCGGCGAACTGCACCGACCGCCGCCTCCGGCGCCTGACACCGCCGCCACCGCCGCTGCCGCCGCCCTATTTTTAACCAGCCCTGCTCGAGACAAAACACCTGGCCTCCGACCGACCTCCGTGGCACTGCTTGTGCTGAAACGGTTCTATTTATGGCAGGTCTCTAAGGTCGAGCTTGTGTTTGCGTTATGTTAACGGATAAGATATTTTGTGCTTGGGTAATAAAATAACAGGATGTATGACTCGTGGGGTATATTAAAATGTATGTCATATTTTTGCAAATGGAAATAAAAAGTTGCATGAAGCTGAAGAAAACATTGCTGATCAAATGTTTGCCTACCCTTTGACAGTCTCCATCCACGTCTTGGTCGGTTTGTTCAATTGTCACCATGTCCTGTTTTGGTGTCAGTTTTTGTCTAAAGTCATATTGCGTGTCCAATTTTATTCAATATTAAATGATTATAATATTAAAGACTACAAAATAATGGAATTTCTCCTTTTTACTACAATATGCTACATGAAGATCACTATTCCTGTTTTCACGTGAGAAAAATGAAGTTTATACAAAAGACTGTTTAGAATTCTGTTGACAGTCGGTGGTCTGAACACCCTTGTTTAAAAACATTGATTAAAAGGGTGCAAATTTAGATTTTTGTTGATAAATTATTGATATTCAGGCAATTTGCATCGTACATCAAAATAAATAAATCTGCAATGTAAGGTGATTGACATATTTCCGTACAGACTTTTACAAAATACAATTGGTATTTTGAATGACTCCAAATCTGTTGTAGATCCCTGATAATGAATAGGTGAATAATCCTTTCGAGACCAACACTTTCCACTGTATCAGTGGTTCACTGCATACAATATACCAATTTAAAATATTGCCTTCACAATGATTGATCTCGTATTTCAGAGATTCACTTACATATCAAAACATAGAAACTTCAAAATTTCACTACTTTTCTTTTAACCTTAATACGAATATTTTTATTTCCGTTCACTGCGTACAAATTCTTATTTTTCAGTCTCCACGCGTGCTTTCTCCAATGATTCTTGTTCTTATTCATTTTCTACATTCTGAAAAAAAGTCTTATTGAAGTACCCTGAATAACTCTGGAACTATTTTAAACCAGTGGCGTGGCGTGAATTTTTTTCTAGGAAACCAAAAGAGAATTAGCCAACTGACAAAAAATAACCATAAAATAAAATACTATAATCTGCATGTAAGATGGAGGAGATACTTTATTTGAAATATAATCAAATCCCCCATATTGTGTGAAAAATGCGCAATATTAAAAAATATCTAAAACAAGAATTTATCAAAAACGGCTCCAAATTGTTTTAAGGAAAAGTGTTAGTCACTAAAGGTGTTAGTGCTAAACTCACTGTAACAGACGATATAAACTCAATTTTGCTCTATTCTTTTTTTCTACGCCATTCTTTTAAACAATTGTAATTTTTGATGTATGTGTATATCACGTAGTCAATATTTACATTACCGGCGATTTGTATACATTATTACATTTATGAGTACATGTGCATCCAACATGGGATTAATTCTAACTTTCCCAAATGTCTTCTGTAAAATAATATGGTGGAGGTGATTTTGCGAGAAAAGTTGTTTTTATAGCTTTAAGTATATTTCCTATATCATTGTAACCGCCAGTGTTCCTCACATGTTTTTGATTGGAAAAGAGAATGCAAGACTAACAATAGTTTTTGCTTTTTAAAAATTCTGTTTATATTCTGTAGGCCATTTATGAGTTGTGGAAAACTTAAACTTTCTTACGCAGGTCTTCACTTTAGTCCTTATTTTTTTAATTCAAGTGTGGGCCTTCAGTTCAAAATTATTATTCTTCGTTTAAAAACTACGAGAAATACAGTCTTGCCGTAAATGTCTTTTCACAATACAGTAACAATTTTTACGGTATTCAGCATCCGTTGCATTTTCAAGTTTGAGATCCATTTTCATCACTGTACGCAACAGCGAAAGTTGCCTACCTTTGTAAGTATAAAGATACTTTGAGGTTCGCAATAGGGGTGCATATACTTGAAAACGCAGACACTAAATTGTTAACACGTATTTAATTTACTTTAAGCGTTTCAAAATC